GAAACACGAGGCGAGACGGACACTGTCCCAGCTGTCTTGCTGCTCATGGGTCCCAGGGTTCTCACCTCATCTTCCCCGCAGGTCCCAGGCAGGGGAGGGGCCCCTGGGCGCACGCAGGACAGGTCCCTGGACGGGGCAGGGTAGGCCGCGGGGTGGGGGAGCACAGGAGGCGGGCCCTCAGCCGGCCTCCCCCGCGCAGCTTCAAGGAGCGGTTCCACGCCAGCGTGCGCAGGCTGACCCCCAGCTGCGAGATCACCTTCATCCAGTCGGAGGACGGCAGCGGCCGCGGCGCCGCCCTGGTCTCCGCCGTGGCCTGTAAGAAGGCGTACATGCTGGGCCAGTGACAGCGGCGGCCAGGCACGGAGGAGGCTCCGGGGGACAGACTCCCCCACAGGCGCCCCCAGCCTGGCCTGCCTCCCGCCCCGCTGCCGCCTGGAGATGGGGAAGGCACGAAGGAGAAGCCTTGCCGGCAGGCCAGTCTTCCCGAGTCAGTGGGAGGGACAGCCTCCGGGCCCTGCCTGGGTTGGGGGCTCAAGGAGCAGAAATGGAGATGCCCACGTCTCCTGTCTTTCTGCTGGAATCAACCACCGGAGGGAGTGGCTCGCTCAGGACTTAGTTGGAGCTTCCGGCTTGGTTCAGCCTTGCCTGGGCCCCGCTCTGGGGAGGGGTGCCCTGTGGACCCTGCTGTGGCCTGGCTTCCCTGGGACTCCGCCCACATGGGGAGGCAGCCCAGGGACCTGGCCAGATCTCCGCCTGGCTCCACAGCGCAGGGCTGCTGACCACCCAGGCCTGGTGGGCTTCTCTGCCTGGAGACAGGGGAGAGGGGGGCAGGGACCAGCTCAGCGTGGAGACGGAGGCACCAGGAGGCCTGGGATGCAGCCTCTTCCCGCCCACCCCGCCTCTCCTGAGGGCCTGTGCTTCTGGGATGGATGCTCACAGGAGGTGCAAGAGACCAGCCCCCACAGCCCCCGTCAAGGACCCAGGAAGAGGAGGACCCCCCCCCCCATGGGGCTGCCACACGCCAGCCAGCAGCACCCAGCACAGCCTCCAAGGGACCACCAGCCTCTTCATGCCCAACATGGGACTGGGTGGTTTTTTTAATTAAAAGTTTTAAAAGTTTAGAGCATGGCCTTGTCCGCGTTCTTTAACTTCTGTGCATAAGGACTTGGGACAGTGTACAGACGTGGTCACCTGTGTGCAGACACTGATTTGTTATTTCCTCCGGCCAGCAATGGGGGGAGGGGGATGGCGGGGGGCAGAACACGGAGCAAGAGACCAGGCTGTGGGAGCAGGACTGGTGCCATCTGGGTGGTGTCAGAGGTCCTAGAAGTGCCCAGGCCCCACCTGCCTGTGGGATTTGGGGTGTGGGCGCCCTGATCAAACCTCCGGGAGCCCCAGGAAGTGCCCAGGAGGAGGCAGGGCTGGTCTCTGGGGGCTGGTCCTGCCCCACGTCTGCCTCAACAGGGGGTCCCTCCGTCCCACACCTAACCCACTTACCCAGAAGCACATCTGTATGATTTCCAGTGAAAGTCCCCAGCGAATCTGGGATGGCTTGCTTCATTCGGAGCTTAACTCGACGATGTGATGGTGAGCAGGGCGTTCCGGGCTGTCCTCTCGTGCCCTGGGTCTCAGGTGCGCTGCTCCGGTCGCTAGTTCTCTGGCCTCTAGATTACGCACCAGCTCCTTGGAGCTCTGTTACTCCACTCCCCGCGCTGATGCTCTCGTCCAGGTCCAGAGGCCACGCATCGGTCCCCTTCAATAGGAATCACTGCCCAGCTGTCCTGGGCTACAGTGCAGGGCATGGCATTGATTCTTCAAGGGCTCTGTGTGAATTCCGTTTTAGGGTGGGAAGACCGTGCCCTAAACTATTTCCTTGTTCTCCAAAAGCGGTGAGGCCCTGCTCCACAGCCGCCGCCTGCAGGCCTCGCCCATCCAGCAGGGGGCAGCAGGGCCACTCCTGCTCCAGGTCTGCTTGCCATGCTGTCTTTGTCCTGGCCCCTCACTCAGCAGTTGAGCTCGCATCAGGGGCTCATGACCCACTTTCAGCGGAGGGGGGCGGGGGGCGGCAAGTGACTGTTTGGGGTCCAGGCCCTGTTCCGAAAGCCTCACAGGCAGCTTCTGTTTGGGGTCACAGCCAGCTCAGGGCCGCCTGCTGCCTCTGGGTTGGCCGGAGGCCGGGCCAAGCTTCTGCACCAAGGCCTCTGGGAGTCCCTGGGGGTCCCGGCCAGAGACCACCACTGCCCTCCAGGCCCAGGCCCCCAGGCAGCCCTCCCCCTCCCCCCACTGTCCTCTTGGACTGGGCAGGCCGGGCTGGACTGCAGGAGGGACAGTCAGATGGAGGTGACAGGGGCCCATCACTCAGCACCGTGAGTGGTGACAGCCGAGAGCCTGCTCTGCTCTCTGCTCTCAGGAGGCCTGAGCCCACGCCTCCCGGATGGTGGACACCCGGGTGTTACATGTCAGGGGCCTGAGGGTCACTGGAATGCGGCTGGAATCTGGGGCCCTGTCCTCCCCGAGCCCAGGCAGGGGCTGCCAAGTTTGGGTCTGTCCTCTCCTCCTCTCCTTATTTGGTGCTGCAGGTGATAAGGCTGAGACATAAGGGAGGCTGCGGGCCCCTCGGCCACCAGGCTGACACTGAGAGAGGATGGTGAGGGCCAGGGTGGGGCAAGGGCAGTGGCACCCTGGGGCTGTCCTTGGGGTGGGAGAGCAGGGAGACTTCTGTGCCTCCAGGGGTGGGGAGAGGACCCTGACCCCAGCTCTCCTGGGAAGGCTCTGGGGTGTGCATGGGGCATCTTGGGGGAGCCCTGGAGAGGACCCCTCCCCACCCACAATGTTGCAGGCCAGCAGGAAGGCGGGGACCCGGGGCAAGGCCGCGGCCACCAAGCAGGCCCAACGAGGCTCTTCCAACGTCTTTTCTATGTTCGAGCAGGCCCAGATCCAGGAGTTCAAGGAGGTGAGTGCCCCGCCCCAGCACCTGCCCCTGCTCTTCCCACACCCAGCACTCCCTCCCTGCCTCCCTCACTGGGGTGGGGGCTGCTCCCAACTGGAGACTGTGGCCCCCACCCCAGGCCTTCAGCTGCATTGACCAGAACCGTGACGGCATCATCTGCAAGTCGGACCTTCGGGAGACCTATTCCCAGCTGGGTGAGCACACCCCCTCCCACCCATGAGCCCCCCGCTCACTCTGGGAGCCCGCTGAGGGGGGACAGGCCTCCTCCTCCCTGCACTCCCCACCTCCCCCACCCACAGCTGCCTCTGACTCTCCACCTCTGGCTGGAAGGAGGGGAGGGCAGCCGAGCCCTGCCTGGGACACCTGGGTCCCTGTAGCCACCTCTGCCCCCCACCCCAGGGAAGGTGAGTGTCCCGGACGAGGAGCTGGATGCCATGCTGCAGGAGGGGAAGGGCCCCATCAACTTCACCGTCTTCCTCACGCTCTTCGGAGAGAAGCTCAACGGTGAGCAGGGCAGGTCGGGATCCCCCGGGGGCAGTGAGCTTGAACGCCGCCCCCCCCCTGCATCCCGCCTGGACCCCACCCAGACCCAATGTGTCTTCAGTCTCTGCTCCCAAATCCCAATCTCCCTCCAGACCTGTCCACCTTACGACTTCCCTCTTGGCCTATCTGGGCCTCAGGGACACTCTGTAACCGGAGACACCTTTCCACCTCTTCTGGGGTGTGGAGGGCTCCCTGCACCCTGGGTTCCTCCTGGGTGAACCTGGAGGCTGGGCCATGGGTGCTCACCCGGCCCCTCGGCCTCCCAGGAACAGACCCTGAGGAAGCCATCCTGAGCGCCTTCCGAATGTTCGACCCCAGTGGCAAGGGCGTGGTGAGCAAGGACGAGTAAGTGGGAGCTGGCCAGGCTGTGGGGAGGCCCCTGGAGGGGGACCGCCCTTAATGGAGCCCTCTCTGCTCTCTGGACCACGGGGGCCTTCATCCCTGACCCGTGCGGCCACCCCCAGGCTCCCACTGCTCCTCACTCCCCCAGGTTCAAGCAGCTGCTCCTGACCCAGGCAGACAAGTTCTCTCAGGCCGAGGTGAGGACGCCGGCTCCTTCATGGGGATCACCCCAGGGGCACTGGGGAGCCTCAGGGGCGCCTGGCTCCTGGCCTTGGAGCCCAGCTCTCCAGAGGAGATGCCATTCCTGTGGAGACCCGGAGGGTGAAGATTGTGTAGTCCACAGGGAGAGGGTGTGCAGGGGGCTGGGGGGGGGCAGGGGCACCTGCAGTGTCTGGAGGAGGGCTCACTGGGGGTGAAGGTGGCACAGAGAGGGGTGTCTGGGGCCAGAGGGGGCTATTTGACCCACGGCCCCTTAGGGGCCCACCCTCTCCCCAGGCTGCCCAAAGTCAGACAACAGGAAATGTTAACTCAGAGTTTTGGTTTGGTCCCGCAAAGGCAGAGGACCAAGGCATACCCTCCTCCCTGGCCGGCTGCCTCTCACTGCCCCCCCCCCTCCAGGTGGAGCAGATGTTCGCCCTGACGCCCGTGGACCTGGCTGGGGACATCGACTACAAGTCCCTGTGCTACATCATCACCCACGGGGACGAGAAGGAGGAGTGACGGGGGCCGCAGCGAGACTCGGGGCCACGCGCTGGCACCTCAATAAACGCATTTCCCAGGAGCCCCGTGTGGTGGCCTCTCTGTGATAGGGGTGCGTGTGTGTGTGTGTGTGTGTGTGTGTGTGTGCGCGTGCGGGAGGGGGAGGGAGGGACGCTGAGGGCCGGATGCAGGGACCACCAGCCCCTCAGTTCTTCCCACACTGCCCAGTTTACAGATGGGGACACTGAGGCCTGAGAGGGTGGGCATCCTGCCAGAGGCCAGCCTCTAGGACGGGTGGGGAGCGTCCAGCCTGCAGGCTGTAGAAGGCCCACGAAATCACCTGGTCTGGCTCTGCCAAGGCATTGGGGTGAGTTAATTAAATGTTTGACCAAAAGGAGCCGCCTAATTTTTAAGTGGGTAATTCTGTGTGGCCCTCGAATGATGGTATAGACATCCACATGGCCCTTGGCAGAGAAAAGGCTCCCCACCCCTGCCCTGGGCCCTGAGCCCACCGGCGCTCAGAAGTTCCGCCCGCTCTGCCCTCCGGGGACACGGAGCACACAGCCGGGACCGTCTCTGCACACGCGTGGGGGGTGCTGGGCCGCGTGGAAGGCCCTGAGGAACCCATTTGAAAACACACCAGACTTGACTTGGACGTGCAGGTGCAGCACCATGACCCGAGGAGGGGCTCGGGGACCCGCAGGGGAAATGCTGGGGCCCGGCTGCAGGCTCAGGGTTCAGGGTCAGGTGGCTGCGGAGGGAGGGGCTTTCCACAGAGGCCGGCAGTGTCCCACCGCCCACCTCACCTCACCACTGGGGCTGGACGGGGACGTGTCCCATCTGGGTGCTGGCTCCCGAGGGCCCCTGGGGGAGGGGAGAGTGGGCACCGAGTCCTGGTGTGGACAGGACAGCTGAGCCGGCCTCCGCCCCCCAAGACCCCTCCCCCCCGCAGGGACCGACCTCACCCCCCCGTCTTGGAGGGAAGCGTTTTTGTGGGGAGAGGTGCTCGGTTTTTGTTGTTTTCCCCTCTCATCCCATTTATTAAAGAAACAGTAAGAAAAGAGACAACGCAGGGACACACCCACCGCCCTTTCACACCAGGTTGAACAGAGCACATGATCTCTTCCCCTCACCCCCCACCCCCTTCCTCTCCACATCAGTTTAAATGTTGGGGCTCTCTGACTGGGAGTACAGGGAGTCGGGTGAGCAGTGGAGCCTTGACCCTGGGGCTCACATTCAGTCCCAGGGCTTGCAGAGGACCGCCGTCCGTCCCAGCTCCACCCCAAACCCTGCTGCCCACCCCACCCCCTGCAGACCCGGGATGCAGAGGCCGGGGTCCCCAGCGGCAGCACAGCCTCACTCGGGGCTGCTGGACACGCAGAAGCTCGAGGCCCAGGAAACAGGCCTGCGGTGCTGCCAGAGGTGCCCAGAACTGGGAAGAGGCTAGCACTCCTGGTGCGGAAAGGCAAGCCCTTTTCTGGGGCATTTCCCTCAGGAAACTTGTAATCCCAGGACCTTTCCCGCCCCTTTCTGTGTAAAACTGTCTAAAAGCTCAACGAGCCTCTTGCAAGTTTTACAGCCCAAGACAGCTCCCAGGGGCCGGGCCATGGCTCTGAAAGGTCACGCCCAGCTCCCAGCTTCTTGGAGGCAGGAGCCTGACTCAGGCCGGAGCCCACTTCCAGGGGCAAAGGTGTGAGAAGAGGTTTTCCTCTCCGTTAAGGCGATGAGCCAGCCCAGGGGAGAGGACAGGAGTCTCTGCAGGACCAGGCCCGGTTGGTTCTCCTGAGAACGTGATGGAGGTGCCTGACTCCTCCCCGGCTTTGAGGAGCACCCGTCCAGCTGAAAGCTCATTAACAAGAAATCTGTTTTCTTTCCGTGTCGATTAGCTTCCCAGCAAAGCCTAAAGCTCCCTCCCGCTGAGCCCCAGCCGCACCCCAGGGGACGGGCTCAGGGGCCTCAGTCAGTGAGTGTCCGCCCCCGTTTGTGGTATTTTCAGATTTTATCCTGAAACCCCTCAGCCCCGAGCCAGGGCCCCAGTCCCTGCCCTGCCCCCACCCCACCTCTGGCAGGGTGCACCTTCTTTAGATATGTTAACTCCACTGACAAAGGTGAAGACGGGCTCTTAGCTGCATCCTCCTCCTGGTGGCTGTCCTGTTCCCACACCCCACCCCACCCACCCACCCACGCGCCCCACACAGCTCACCCTGAATGCAGACTGGCTCCCACACGGGCTAAGGCCAAATCCCCCAGTTTGGGTGGGAGGGCCCCAGAGATGGCAGTGCAGGCACTTGGCTGGATTTTACTCAGCAGCAATGCAGGAGAGACTAGTAAGTAATGGGTCAAACCCACTCCCCTGCCTTTGCTGGGAGCCTTGCAGACACTTCTGGTCGCTCTGGTCAGAGGACGGGGTGTGGAGATGCAGAAGGGCATGAGCTGGGGGAGGCCCTCAGAGAGTGGAGCGGCCTGGGGGTCAGACCACTCACTGTCCGTCAGTGAGCTTGAAGGATGCCAGCTTCCTCTCGGCGACTCGGCTTCCTCCTCGTGAAGGGGAAGCTGGGCTGGATGTTGACAGCAGCTGGGTCTCCCTGGGCCTCCAGGTGTGGTGTGGAGTCGCCCACCTGACAGGTACTCCCCACCCTGCCCAGAGTCCCCCCTGGACACTGACTTAGCTCAGGACCAGGCACAGCCACAGGCAGGGCTGCCACAGCACTTGGCTTCACTTTTTCTGACTAAATGTGCAGATGAGGGACCTTCGAATAGATGGGGTGCAGCTGGAAGACTTCCGCCCACCCTGAGGTGGCAAAGCCCCTGGAGCCACAGCCGTGGGTGCACCACCGGAGTGGGGAGGGGAAACCTTGGCGCAGGAGGGGTGCTGTGTCCCCTAGAACAGAGCAGCCTAGTGAGTGATGAGGGGTGTCAGGACTCTAGACTCCTGGTGTCTGCGCACGGGCCCTGCCCCCAGGAGCCAGCAGAGGCAAGGGCAGGAGGGGCGGCTGCAGCCTTGGGGACGGGACTCCCTCTGCCGGCTGCCCTCCCATCTGCCCCCTCCCTCTCCACCGCCTTTGTCTTCCAGTGCCTCTCTGCACCCCAGGAGCTGAAACAGCCCTGACCTCCCACCGGCCCCCCTGCTGTCTGTGGAGCATCCCCACAGGGACAGGCTGACGACGCGAGAGCCACTTGGCTCCAAAATAGAACCTTATCAGCCCTGCCTGCCGCTCTGGCGTCAGCAACACCCACTCTCCTGCTCCCCCTTCTCAACGGTCACAGCCAACCCCCGTCCGGATCCCCTCCCCAAAACACCTACAGGGTCAAGCAGTGGCAGCCTTGAGAGGTGGGGCCCCTGCCTGGGGCCACAGGTGACGGACTGCACGGGGTGGTCACTGCTCCCAGAGGGACACAGCACAGGCGGCAGGTCTGTGGGAATGAGGCACTGGCCCAAGACCAAGGGCCAGACAGGGGGAGGGCCAGACCTCCTGGCCGTGTTCCTTCAGGGCTGTATCTTTGTAAAATGGTAACTCTTACACTATATATACTTTTACCACAATAAAACGTTTAAAAAATAAAACATCGCGGAAGACCCACCAGCCCTTGCACTTATTTTGAGGGGTGCACTGGGAGCCTTGCCCCCTGTACGTACCTACATGTTTCATTTAAGAACATCGTTGGTCTCGCGTTCAGAAAACCCAACGAGGAGAGAGCAAATGGGGTTCACTTTTTTGCTATGAAATAAGAAGTCAGCGGTTGCTGGGCTTGGTCTGGCTGCATCCCATGTTCCAGGACACGGCAGAGAGACGGTGGAGGGGCAGCCAGCTGCACCCTCCCTTTGACCACACACGCCTACTTCTCAGAAGTCCAGACCCCGGCCCTGCCAGATGCTCCAAAGTCTCTGCCAGATCTGATCTCACACCACACATGGCGGCCAGGAGACTGGGAAAGGCAGCGCTCGGACTTTCCATCCCTGCCCACAGCAAGGAGAAGGGGTGAGGGGAGGCGTGGTGTAGCCCCCAGCGGTGGGGGCACCACTGATCGGTCCCTGCCCACCCCCCACCCCACCCCCAGCATCCTCCTGTGGCGTGTGCCCAACACGGCCACGTGCAGTTTCCAGGAGGGGCTGCTCAGCTCCGTGTCAGCACGGCCTGCTTCCTGGCTGTGCCACGTGCACCATGAATCATTCTGTAAAACAGCAATGGTCACAGTACCTGCCTCGCTGGGCTACGGGAACATCCAATGACATCATGCTCTTAAGACACTTAGCACACTGCCTGCTCCCCTAAAAATACTCACTCATTCAAAAATACCAGCTCCCCTGGGGCTCTCCCACATGCCCCCGAAGGGCAGGCTCATTCAGTCTGCAGGGCAGCTTGGCAGACCCCTTGCGAAGTGTCACGGAGGGAGCGGTGGTCAGCTGACCTTGGGGGCCCCGGTTCTCGGGAGGCCCAGCACCCCTACGCTAGGCTGCCTTGGGGTGGGTCCAGCTGTCACTCACTAGCTGAGCGACTTCTCTGTGCCTCATCGTCCAAGGCTTATTTGGGGATTAGATGGATTAACGTGCCAAGAACGGAGAACGCAGGCAGGTCTCCAGCGAGGGCTGTGTGTGTCACCCCTTAGCACTGTCCACTCTGTCGTGGGGACAGGACCAGGGAAGAGCAGGGGGCGTGGTGGGAGCGGCGTGAGGCTTCCCGGGAGCGTGAGACGCGGGAGGGCACCCGCAATGGGGCG